AGGATAGATTTAAAGTGGCAGGCAAAAACTGATTAAAGACAAAAACAGCTGCCTGCAGGTCACATCAGGGATGAGCAGATTTTTCAGGTAAATTCACATTCTTTCTATTCTTCTGCAGTTTATCAAGGTAACTTCCTGTATCTCCCTAAGCCTCAGCAAAAGCTCTCACACTTCTTGTTGTTTTCTCTGTGTCTGAAACCATGTTTCAAATATAAGCTTGGGCTAAACCAGTTGCAGTCGAGAGAACATGAGAAACATCCTCCATGTATCTCCTAGTAAATTGAACAGCAAAGTAGACAGATTCAGTGCAGCATGCCAGCACTCCTTGTTGCATAGGAAAAAGCATACTGGATGGAGTGTGAACAAAATTAATACTAACTTCCCCTAGAAAGCGTCTTTAGTCTAAGCATATTTCAGACGTGGTAACATGTGATATAGGAAACCTGAAGGACAGGTCAAGGAAATGAAACCTTCAGAGGCTCACAAACATCTACAGTGTTGCACTAACATTGCAGGGGCAAGGAGCCAAAGCTTAAATTAAGCGTAAGACCAATGCAGCTGTAGTGCTCACTGCAGTGCTCATATAAAGCCAAGAATCTCAAGTGTAATATCTTGAGAGTTGGGAGAAGTACTAATGAGCTGGTAGCCATACAGTCATGCAGAAGGGAGGCAATAGAAATCAGAAACCACAAAATCTAGAGTAGCAGTCCCCAAACTATTTTGCTTTCTTATCTATCTTAGGCATATCGTAATTGCCACAGAGTCTACTGCACCGAATAGCCACATTTTTAATCAGTCTTCAACAGGAGTGCCAGCTTGAGTCATTAAAATACATCATATAGCACACTCTAGTTTCAAGGGGATTCTGTAATTTGCTTTTCTACTGTTGTTTGCTTGATACCTACCCTAAGCAGATTTCAGAACTGGGACTGTGTCTTTCTCTGTTTGTATGGCTTGTATCACAATAGGCCCTGATCCTTACTCTGTCCTTTTGGTGACCATCAGCCACCTAATAAAACACTGATTTATTAACTATTGGACAAAAATAATGAATCGAAATAAATTCATATGATGTTTGCCAGCCAGGAGAGGCCATAAAGCTGTTAAAAGCTGAGAACCAAGCCATATAGAGTGCTTGCTGTCCTTGCTGTTGAGAGCACCTAGGGTTGAATCCTGACTTGCTCTCTGTTGGATTTTATGTAATACTCCTTCCCTGAATCTTTAGTCATATACGCAGAATGGTTTAAAAGCATACCTTGCCTGAAAACAGCGGTGAAGAGGAATCTGTTGTGTGTGTCTCCTTCATTCTTTTGTTGATAAAATTAATAGGAGGGATTCAAGGGTAGTCTTTGATTAGTCTGAAAAGTGTCTGAAGAATGTGTGGTCCCCAGTAGCCCAGTACTGCAAACACTGTAGCTGGTGCTTAAGACTTCAGCAGCAAAGACCGTCACTGACATGGACCCTCCTATGCATAAAACTGCACGCGTGTATTGCAGAGCTTGCTAGCTCTGCAGTGTGGTTCGGCCAGGCAGAATCCAAACCTCCTATACCATAGGAGTTGTGTCGTCTATCATTGGCGTATGATTGTCTCTGGATTGAAAGCAGAAAGGTATTTTAACGTGACCCGGTTGTTTAGTAGAACCTTTCTGATGGAGGAGCAAGGAAAAAACATCTCTATTTGGAAACAAGCTGGTATTTAGACAGAGGAAAATTATCCTGAGGGAATTTAGTCAGGTCAGCTGGACATACATCTCATGAAAAGTGACATCAGATCTTTAATGAGAACAGATGTCCAGGAGCTGAGCTTATGCCACCTTTTGTAGCAAAGCCTTTCTTTACAATAGGCAGGTGTAATGCGTTTTGCTTGGTGCAGAAGGGGAGTAGAGTGCCCTCTACTGAAATTAGAGTAAATCGGTCTCAAGGCTTTCACTGTCGTGGAACATTCTGTGCTATGGTTATAGGGGCTTTCACAAATATGAACTATGATGAGAACTGTGACAGATAGATCTTGGAGCACTGTTATTACAAGTGGAGGATGCTTACTGATGTAGCAGTCTTAGGTTTCTTTAGTGAATAAATAATTTTCCACAAATCAAGTCTCTTGAAGGGACCATGCTGCTTATTGCAGTTAGTTCCAAAATACATGTTTAAAGGCATATGTTATTAAGGACATATTCTCTTAGATCTTAAATAAAACGCTTCAAAAAGGGTAGCCATTGTGATTGCTTGTAGATGTAAACCAGGGCCTCGAGAAGTTTGTCAGCTACCCAGAGTCATACCTGGGATCAGAATCAGAGTAGAGTAGAACATGGACTTCCATGCCACTAGACCACACTGGCAGCAATGCCTGAGGCTTTCTCTGGTAGCACAATGTGCTGTACTTTTTGTCTGTGGTGACAGAAATGTTAGACAAGGTCAGTAATTCTGGGAGTTTCTAAATTTTTTTTGTTTGTTCATTCATTTTTCTTTAAATATGTGAATAGTGTTTTGTGTAACGAATTGAAGGTCCTTTTCATCTACATTGCTGCTATGACAGATCTTGGAACTAGCTCTTTTTTGAAAGTTGCTTATCCTCTCTTTCTGCTTGTGCCTTTTGTTTTCTTTTGGGAGCTGCAGGATCTGACAATGAAATGTAATGAGGAAGAAAAATCACTAAGCACAGAGGTGTTTTCTAAGGTTTCACTGACGAACTTGCGCAGACCAGCAGTTCCAGATCTCTCCACGGATCTGGGGATGAACATTTTCAAAAAGGTGAGTGAAAGAAAATAGGACTTTAATTTACCTATGATTCAGCACCTCGATGTCCTGCTAAGTAGCAGCTGAAGGTCTGCTTCGACTATATATTTATGCCATATGTGAGACTGACATCTCTTTTCATTGGAAGTGATTCTGTGTGTTATTACATAGGTTTTTATATGCACATTCCAAACACA